AGCTGTGGCAGCTGGTGTGGGAGGAAAGAGAAGGATCCAAAGTCTCCTGGGAAAGAGCTGACCTGGTTGTTTTATGCTCCCCAGGATCGTGGCCTGCCTGGCAAACTGGAGCCAGTGTCGCCCGTGAGCCCTGCGCACCCCGATGCCGAGCTGGACCTGCTGCCGGCCCGGCTGTCGAAGGAGGAGCTCATTCAGAACATGGACCGCGTGGACCGCGAGATCACCATGGTGGAGCAGCAGATCTCCAAGCTGAAGAAGAAGCAGGTAAGAGGCTGTGGTCCGGAGGGGAGCACGCGTCCTCGTGTCTGCGTGCTGCCTTATGCCCTGTCCTCTCCCACGTGTGTCCACAGAGGGGAAGTGGCAGTGCCAGTGCCACCAGGGTGGTCTGATGGTCTGTGTCCATGCTCCCTGTCGTGACATGGGGCAGCTGCTGCTGTGCCAGTGGTCTGGAGCTGGTAGCTGCAAGACAAGGGAGCTTTGGAAACCTGGCTTGTGGGCTCTTTTGCGTGTGAGAATGCCTCAAAGGGAGAAAAATCTGTCCTCGGTGACTTGCCCGTGGCCATGCGAGCAGTCAGTGGCAGAGCTGGAAACGCAGCCTGGGTTGCCCGAGCTGTCTGTACAACCCAGCGTTAGCATAAGGTCTTTTCTTTTTCCTTTCCAGCGGTTGTCTCTCCCCAGTGCCGTACTGGGCTGTTGAAAATGCTGCTGCGATGTCCTCACGGCTCTTCCGTGTGCGTCCAGCCCCTTCTCCGGGGCTGTGCAGCTCTGCAGCCGTGAGCGGCGCTGAGCCAGGGGTCTAAGTCTGATCTTCTCGCTTAGTGCTTTACCCCTGCACAAGAGCAGCAGAAGGATCGCCCGCTCCGTGTTGCTGTGTATACAATTACCATAAACCCATTAAGAGATTAATATGACAAAACCTTGGGGGACGTCTGTGAAAAAACCCACAGACTTAAAGGCTTTCCTTTCAGAAAACAAATCGTTTATCGCTGCCTCTCTCCTACCGGCTGCTTTCTTTCCTTTGCCTGGGGCCAGTTGCTAACCTCCCTGATGGCTGCTGATCAAAAAAAACCTGGGATGTGCGGCCGGGACTGGAGGATGGAGCAGAACCCCTGCTTGGGCTGTCGGCCGGGGCCAGTGCTCCTCCAGGATCAGCGTCCAGTTGACCTTCCTCCCCATCAGATTTCTATTTTTCCCGTACCAGATACTATCCCTTTCTTTCCTGTGAGACGAAGCAGGATGTTTTGGTTTTGTTTTCAAACAATATGGTTTAATTAATGTGAAGAACCTTTTTTTTTTTTTGTGTTGCTTTTTGTCTGCAGAGGTATGGGAGTGCTTAGGGAGAAGCAGCTGTGCTGGGGGGGGGAGGAAGCAGCCAGGTGTGCCGGCTCGTGGGAGCCAAAGGAACATCTGGAGCGATGGAAACCACAGAGGTTCCTCTTGTTGGGTTTGGTGGGAGCTGAGGGAAGCCCAGCCCTTCCCCTCTCCCTCCTTAGGAAGCTCAGACAAAGTGTTGGTGTCCTCTCACACCGGGCAGTCTGGCTGCTGGTCTGTTTGTAACTCACGTTTGAGGAAGGCTGTGCAGAACGTGGTCATTTCCCACTCCGGAGAGGGGCTTCCAGGGTGGGATGCGTGCCTGGCGCGGCGGCGACCGACACCTCTGCCCATCCCCTGCCTGACTTCTCTCAGAGGTGCTGAGGAGCTGCTGGAGAAGCTGAGAGGAGCTGCGTATGCTCCGTGCCGTTAAAATCAAGCTGTCCTTCCGTAAGGAAATGGGGTTTTTATCGTTGGCTGCTTGGTTGCTTTATTTCTTCCCTCTGAGCGAATTTTACGATTCTTCCTCCCCACAAAAATGCTCTGCTGAGTGGCGAAGAAGGTGAAAGTGGCTTTTGGCAGTAAAAGCATCCCCTCCCCTCTTTTTTATTCTTTTTGGCACATGGTGGCCAAGTCATTTGGTAACAAATCCCACCCCCCCAACACTGGCCTCCTTTCCCCTCTAGCAGGATCCTTCCGCAGCCCGGTCCTCCACAGAGCTGGCACACCCGGGAGGAAGCGTTTTCGGGGAGAGGGGTCCTGTCTGAGTCGCTGCGGGAGCGTTGTGTCCATCTGTGCGTCGGAGCTGTCGGCGCAGGAGAAAGAGGAGCGAGGGAAAGCAATCAGCCTGTAACAGATACTGCTCTTGCAGGAACGGGTGGTGGAGCAGGGGAGGGATTGTATGCAGCCGGAATATCCTAATGTTTTTCCCCTCTGTCTCTGGGAGGCCTTCTCAGGGTAATTAGATACATTTGTATGGAAAGGCTGCGCAAAAAAAACCACCAACCAACCCCAATCCACCATCTCTCTTTTATTCTGGTGGTTCCAGAAATGGGAAGGAAGGCTCTGCCTGGGCTTTGCAAGAAGCAAAACGTCTTCAGCAAGCTGCGAAACCTTCCCCAAGCCCAGCGCGCCCCTGGCAGAAGGCCACCTCCGTCAGCCATCCCCCGCTCATTCGTGTGCCATATGCGCTTAAAGCTCTCGCCGAGTCCTCGCTCCCCCTCTTCCTGACGGGGAAGGATAATCCTGATGCATTTATTCCTGGCAGCGGTACCGGGGATCTGAAGGAGAAATAAACCGCGGGGCTGTTCTCCGCTGGGCGAAGGGCTCTCCGGGAGTACAACACTCCCACCTGGTGATGGAGGCTGGGTGGAAGAGCTCCAGGGTTCCCCCTTCCATCTGCCTCCTGGCTGGGTGTCCTCTCTTCTCCCCCGGGGCTCTCTGAAGGTGGTTTTGGGAGATGTGCTGTGGCTGGAAGCCCTCTGCTCTGCCCTCAGCAGGCGAAGCGTCCCGGTACCCGGCGCGATGGCTGCCCAGCGCCGGGTGTGTGTGTAACGACCTTGGCTTCGTCATGCAGGTCCCTTCAGCACAGGGGCTGGTACGTGCGGGGTTGGGGCCTTCCCGAAATGTCACCCACCTTCTGCCAGCGCTGCGCGGTGCTGGCGTGGCTCGGAGAGCCCGTCTGCAGCGGGTGGCCCAGCCCAAGGGGCTCTTGCCTGGAGAAGGCATCTCCTTCGCTTGGAAACGGGATCGCCTGTGGATGCCGTGGGAGCCAGGGCTGCGGCTAACGATGGCGGCTTTGGTCCCCACAGCGTCCA